AGAAACATCAATGATGAGAGAGTCATTGATCGGCTGCCTAACCCGCAACCCGGGCATGTGCCCTGACCTGCAATCGAACCCTGATCTCCTGGATCCTAGGTCGATGCTCAACCGCTGAGCCACGCCTGGCCGGGCTATTTTATTATTTTTAAAAAATATGTCTTTATTAATTTCAGAGAGAGGAAAGTAGAGGGAGAGAGAGAGAGAAACATCAATGATGAGAGTCACTGATCGGCTGCCTCCTGCAAGTCCCATGCTGGGGATCGAGCCCGCCACCCGGGCATGTGCTCTGACCAGGAATCGAACCTAGATCTCCTGGATCATAGGTCAATGCTCAACTGCTGAGCCACACCTGGCTGGGCAATATTTTGTTTCTTTAGACTTGGGTTTCATGAGAGTCTGGACCACTTACTAGACTTGCGATTTTGGACATGTTCATAAACATGTTTGTGCCTCAGTGTCCATATCAGTTAAATGGCGGTGAATTAAACTGTACCAATTTCACTGAGTTATAAGGACTGAGAACATTGTTTCCATATGAGAATAGAGCTTACCCCATCATGAATTCTTCAAAATTATACCATTGTGACGATCGCTTTTACCTACTGCATATTTGTCCATCGTAAAGAGGCACCACAATGTACTTACCACCTCCAGTAGCACTTTAATTATTTTCAAGTCTATTGTGAATAATCATGAAATGAACATCCGCATCCATATTAAGGTACACACTCAAGAATATCCATGAAAATTAATACCTAAGAAGTGGAATTGCTTGAAAGATGGGTAGGTGGATTTACATTTTAACAGATATGGTCAAGTTGATCTTCAAAGACAATGCATGAATTCACATTCCCACAAACCATTCATTCAGTCATTCATTCATTAAAGTAGTCATTCATTTATCAAATATCTTTGGGCCAATATGTGCCAGGCACTGCTCCAGCCAACTGATATCTATTAGTGAGCCAAACAAAGATCCTTGCTCACAGGAAATGTGTATTTTAGCAGATGGTACATACATGTGAAAATTCATTGTGGCCTTAATTTTTATTCCCCACATAACTAATAAAGTTGAGTAGCTTGTCTCACGTTTATTGACATGAAAATCCTCTTCTGTGAAGTGGCTACTCAAACATTTTGCCCGTTTAAAAAACATTTGGGGGAGGAAAACAAGATGGCAGCGTAGGTAACAGCTACACCCGCCACCTCCAGCAACCACATCAAAATTACAACTAAAATACAGAACCACCGTCACTCAGAGCCTCCTGAAACCTGGCTGAACAGAAGCCCCACAACCAGGGACCTGAAGAAGCACTGAGACTGGTAGGAGGGACGGAGAAGTGGGCGGATCAGGGCTGAATCACAGAGACGCGGCTGCGGGCCCACACCTGGTGCCACGGTTGAAACCCGGGAGGGAATCTCGGCGGCGGAGTTTTCCGGGAGGAGGGAGGGGTCCCAGCCCCACCGCAGGCCCCCAGCCCAGGGCTCCAGGCTGGAAAGAGACGTCCCCACAACTCCGGGCTGTGAAAACCAGCAGGGACTGTCGCTGAGGGTCGCGGAGGCCACGGGAGCCCCAGGCAGCTCCTCTTAAAGGGCCCGCGCACGGACTCACTGGGACGCGCTCCCTCTGAGCCCAGCACCGGGCAGCAGCCTGAAAGGACCCGGGACACTCGGGGAGGAACTAACCTGCCTG